TCGCGGCGTTTCAGCGTCTCGTGGCCTCTGAGGCGCCCGAGCCCGCGATGTCGGGCCCCAATATGGGAATGCCGGTGGTACCGAGCACGGAAGACGAGGATGACAGCTTCGGGGAAGCAGGTGACGCCGGGGGTGGGGTGGGGGTGGGGGACTGCTGAGCTACGGTTGCTCCAGGTTTCGGGCCCTGGAGCGGGCCGGGCGGCTTCCCCCGCTTTACTTCCCTAGGTCCCACCGTTTCAGCTTCCACCAGGGCCCCCGGTCCGCACGAGGTCGCCGCGTTCCATCATCGCGCGGTCCTGGAATAGCCTGAGCCCGCCACGTCGGGCCCCCTCGGGGACCTGGGCTTGCCGGTGGAGGCGGATTCAGGAAGCCGGTGACTCAGGGGGGGCTGCAGGAACGACCTGTCGCTTTCTCGGGGCACCTTCCTAGGAAGAGGAGTCGGGGCCGGGATAGGGGTTTGTGAGGGACCGCGGAGCCCTCCCACCCCTCGCTCCTGGGTGGGTTGTGGCTGCAGACCCCCGTCTCGGTGAGCTCTTGCGAGTGGGTCTCTGGAAGCCTCACACCGAGAACTTTACAGAAGCGGGGGGAACGGGCGCCGCGTGCACACCCGCCACCTGGCTCAGCGCCGCGGGACCACACCCCGCAGCCGGGCGGTCCAGGTCACCACCAGCAGTGATCAGTCCCGTGGCTAGCGTCTTCCCCTGATGTGATGTGGAACAAATGGCACTCGACCTCTGTAGTTTTCCTCCTGAAACTCATAACCCCAGTCTAATCCTGAGAAGAACGCCTGTCAAGTCCCAATAGGGAGAGATTCTGCAAAATACATGAGCAGTGCCCCTCAAAGCTGTCAAGGTCATCAAGACCAAGGAAAGGCTGCCGTTGTGTGGCTCAGTGTTTGAGCATCGACCTATGAACCAGGAGGTCAGGGTTCAATTTTCGGCCAGGGCACATGCGGGGGTTGAGGGCTCGGTTCCCAGAAGGCTGTGTGCAGGAGGAAGCCAATCAATGATCTCTTTCGTCACTGGTGTTTCTATCCCTCCCTCTTCCTCTCTTAAATCAATAGAATAAGGAAAGTCTGAGCAAGTGTCACAGCCAAGAAGAGCCTAATGAGGCATGACAACTAAATGTAACCTGGGATCGCCCTGGCTGGTTTGGCTCAGTGGATAGAGCCTCAGCCTGCAGACTGAAGGGTCCCAGGTACTGGTCAAGGGCACTTTCCGGGCTTGCAGGCTCGATCCCCAGGAGGGGGCGTGCAGGAGGCAGCCAATCAATGATTCTCATCACTGATGTTTCTTCTCTCTTCTCTGAAATCAATAAAATATATATATATTAAAAGTGTGTATTCTCATATGTAATTGTCTGCGTGAGTCCAGGCCCCAGAGAGACAGGCAGGAGCAGCCGGGTAAGGGACATGCTTGGGCCAGGCACCGAGCACAAGGAGCAGGAGACCGCCCTGGACCCGGACCGTGTGGCAGAGCCTACTGCCCCTGCCCCCTGTCCCGTGGACCCCTCTATGGGGAGGAATCCGGCATGTGGCTGGCCGGGAGTGTGGGAGGTGCTGCCTTTTAGAGCTTTTCCATAAACAGGGTCCCCAGAGCAGCTGGAAGGGGCAGGAGCCAGGAAATGCTCACGTGAGCCCAGCTGAGTCCCGAGTTGAGAGATGGGCATGGGGGCTGGAAAGCTGCTCTAGAAACTTGAGAGTCCAGCCAAGGCCCGAGAGGAGCAGGCCTTCCCCCTCCTGGGTGTTGGGACCTGCAGTGGCCAAGGGGGGCCCATCTGTGGACACCAAGAGCCTCCGCTGCTGTGACGGCCTCCGGGGGCATCGGCGTCTCCTCCACGTGGTCCCGGGCGCCTAGAAGCCTAGTCACCCGCTGCCCGGGCACCCCTTGCCCAGCCCTCAGGCACGTCAGAGGGTGTTGTTGTTCCCCAACCACCCGTGGCTGAACGCTGCTCACACGTTTCCGGGGACCAGTCCAGGGTGTTAGACTGGATTCCTGACATGCAGTCAGCACAGGGAAC